TTTTTTTTTTCTTTTGTTACCTTATCGCCCGCATAGCAGCCCTTTGGTTCGCCTGACCTGAGGGGCTCTGGCAGCCGAAGTGAGCCGAAGGATTAGCCAACGCTTTGGCTTAATCCTTTGGCTCCATTGTGAATAACCCCCTGAAACTTTTAAACATCAAAAGCAGCATCCATTGTAAGGGATTCAATCAGCATTTGAAATAGCTTAAAAACCTTTTGACTTTAATATCACTTTTAAGTATCTTTTTAAAGCATTTGATTTTCCCTGCCATGAGGACAGTCAGGTCCTGCATGTCCAACAATATTTATTATGGGTGAACTGTGAAGGCTGCCATTGCTGGACTCATTCTGAACATGCTGGTTCTTTTAGTCTCTGCCTTCATTACTTTTAAGTCACAAACCTGGAACAAGCATGCAAAAAAGGAGTGTTAAAAACATGTCAGAATTCTTATTTCTATTCTTGTTCTTGTTGTGTGACTTACAAATCATTGAAGGCAAAGCATCAACATGATAAGTCAGCCCAGTAATTATTGTTTCCAATTGGCCAGACCTGACTTATTTCCTTTTATTGAAAGGGATATGTGAAGAGCCACAACCATTGTGCATGAAGTCATTGTAGCATATATAATGAGAAAATATAATTACCTTTTTATACATCATTGCAGCTAACCTACAACTGCAACTTTGTCTACAACAAGACTACTTTTTAAAAACACATTATTAGGACTATTTACATGACATGAGTGGTGTCCATGGGCTACCATTGTTGAACTCCTTCTGAAAATGCTAAATGTCTGGCTAGGATTCTTACCCAGTTCTTTTTACATTCTACTGTATTCTCAATATTTCTGTATCCCGGACCCAAGTATGCTGTTTAGCAAGGTCAGAAATACTTATCTGTTTACATGTTTTTGGTCAGGGGCTTAAAATATTGAAGCAAGAGCATCAGCATGAGAACCAGACAACTAAACTTTTTAGGGGAGACGTTAGCAATGGCAGCTTCTGTTTATTTCAGGTTTCCCATAAGTTGATCATTTTTATGGATATCTGGAAAAACAAATTACACCTAATGTATAGTTGTCCTTTTTAAGTGTATCTAGTAACCATTAACTTGCTCCCCAGAGCTGGCTGGATCATGCTCAGTAGCTAGCATTCATTTTTTCATTTTTCTGTAGTCACCCTGGAGAAAACAGTGGCACCTGAACAGTTAAACACAAGACACCCTGAGAGGATGGTTGAGCCTATAGTTCAGTTCTTATAGGGAGTATACTGTATATCCCAAGGATCACTTTAGATGTGTATATTGCTTGCTTATTCTTGATGCAAACTGGGAACTAAGAGCACATCTAAATGGATGCAGGATTCTTGTTTTTAATATGACGCCTTATGCAGAGAGCCTTTTATCTCCAGATAGCAGTAACAACCTCCAGTCAGGAAATATGAATGGACAGCAGCAACAAGAGTAAATTGAAAGGTTGCATTTAGAAACTTGCTTGGCTTTCCTAGTTATTAAAGGAGTTACACTTGAAAGTGCATGCTTTGTTTAAAAAGGCAGCCTAAAAACTATAAGAAATTGTTGCACGATTAAATAGATTTGTGCAGTTGTTCAACTATCTGGCATTGTATGAAATAAAAAAATCAAACAATCTTCTATCCCTTGGAATAAATAATATAAATTCAATAAATTCATACATGATTGTTCTCTTTTGATCAAGCAGATAAGCTTTGGTTTACAGCCTACAGGAGCTCTGATATGAAGAGAATAGTGTATGTGTCTGTTGTATGAAAAAGGGAATGTCTGCAAAGGTTTGATCATTCTCAAGCAAATAATCATAAGCCTTTGAGGTAGTACCACGTGGCACTGGGTTATCGCTACTTATCCGCAGAGATGAAAAGAAAGATGAAGAGAACAGCAAATAAATATTCTTGCCTTCCAGTGCTACTGCTCCTACAGATTGTGCCACCTGTACCTGACAATGGTTAAATGCATTTATATTTCTGTAAATATTCACAAGATAAGCGAAATGGATTAAAAACAATGTTTAAAGCTATTTAGAAAATCCATGAATGGATAAAGGTAATAATAAATCTGTCCAACCTACATGTGTGGGGTGGAAATGCATGTATTCACTTCTATTTGCACAGAAACAAGTATTATGTGCCCCAAATGTGATCTAGACAATGGCTCTAATTACCATATGGAGTTTTGCTTGAGTCAATAAGATCAAACATCACAATATTGATCTACACAGAATAAACATAATTTGCTTATCTCTGAAACTGTAGCTAGGTTCCCTGAAAGGATAATAATGAACATACAGAAGACAAAAACCTAGCACATATGTGTTCTAAAGTATTACAAATGGAACGGCTTATATGTAAAATTACCATAAAATAGCAACAAACATCACAACAAAATATTGTGGTATTTGAGTGGGGTGTAGAAAAAACATCCACATGTAGAGTAGTTATAATGGATGTCTTACATTGGCCATAAGTTTTCAAGCAATATGATAGTTTAAGTACATGGGCAGCCAGTTTCAGGTCAGTTTCCATTTTTTCAGTTTCTCTATCCTGCAAGTCATTTATATAGGTCGTGGTTAACAGGAGTAAATATTGTGAACATTTTCATCATATGGCTGTTACAACTGTGACTCAAAGACCTTGTATATATCAATCAAAATATCCTGCATGCATAGGCCATTTTATGTTGGAATTTGGTGGGATGGAGCACATACAATTTTTTACATGTCTAAATAATTTTTAGCCATATCCACTAAGAACATGTACCCTCAAGAGGTCATACAGGTTTTCACCTTATCACCTCTGCCTTTTTAATCTTTGTATTAATAATTGGTAATAGTAGAGACTCGTACTGTTTAATATTAATCTGTAAAATCACAGATTCCAAGCTCCAGTTGCATGTCATATAGTTCATATATAATTATCATGGGAGTCGTTTCTGAATCATGTATTGCTAGCAAACATGCTAATACAGCATATGATTTTAAGTTACAAATAATTCTACTTTGTGTACAAAAAAATAAAAAAAGTCTTCAAATTATTTGCAAACTTTATCTTCCAGTTATATTAATTCATTTAATTTATCTTAAATTTAATTGCAGTGAGCACACCTAATTAACCTGATTTTTTGCTGATAATCATTCTCAATGGAATCAAATCAAAAATCCGGGGAAGGATTGGCCGCAACTCAGAAGGAAGCCGCACTGCGTGCATTGATTCAGCGCACAGGATATAATTTGACGCAGGTACGAGAGCCCTGAAAGACGCAGCTGCAAAAGGTTTGATTGTTAATTATTTTCTGGGTGATGTGCACACTTAGACAACACTTTAATTCCCAATTAAATTAGAAAATATTCATGTACAATGAGTGCTTCCAATGTCAGCAGCACTCAATTTTATTCTAGGGGTACAGCTAGATGGCCCAATCCTATACCAAGCATTGGGCCATTTAGCTCTACCCTAAGAAATACAATTCCTTACGACATACTGATCAGACCTCTACTTATACTAAATGTAGTAAAAAAAATGCATGCCAGTAAACGCAAGAATTTTCTAAATTTTCTAAACAAAATTAAAGTGTATTTTTGCCCAAAAACATTTTTTTTTAGTTTTGGATTGAATGGGGAATGGTTAGAACCCCTGTTAGGTGTTACTGCTTTCCTGGACTCATTTAGAGAGAATATTCTTCTGTGACCAACCTTTTACAAGACATGGATTGAAGGAAAATTTGTGCCAGACAAACAATAAAAAACAGAAAGAGGTTCTAACATTCTCCTTCTTAAAGTAGTATTAAAGTCACATTTTATTTTTACATATACCTACTGCTAGCAAGCAGTAGATATTTGCAAAAAACATAAAAAAAATAAAAAAGTTACCAAACAGGTAAAAACCTACCTCTGTCTCCGCTCCTCCCTCCCAGCTGTAGATCTGTAGCTTCTTGAACGGCTGTGCAGGAGGAAAAGTGTAGGCGCATGCGCAGTAGAGATCACCAGTGGGGAGAAGAGGAGAGGCTCACTGTAAGTCAATGCACGCATGTCGGACAGAGACCGTGGGGCAGGAGGAAACAGTGGTCTGCCTTGAATCAGAGACTGGCACCAGCTCTGGAGGGACTGCTGAAAACAAGTGGAAGGAAGTTGATGATTGGATCAAGATGCATTATTTAAGGTGAGTCCTCAAAGCAGCATGGAGGGGCAGGGGGGATTCTGACTTTAATGTCACTTTAACTTATGGAAAGCATTTTTACTTTTTAAAAACTGGGATTGCTAATGAGGATAACCAAAGATTATAATACCGTGGATGGACTTTATGACTGAAGCTCAAATGCTGCTTCAAACAGAAAAGGCAACAAACAATAATAAGGTCCTTGCTATGAGTAATTCTAGTTGTCAATTGCATCTATAGGTTTTAGTAAAGAATGCAAATTGTATCCATATTACCAGACAATTATCTTTCACAAGCATTCATTGAACCAGCTAAATGAAAGCTTTGTTAAATTTAGTCATTTACAAGCGATTTTAGAAAAACACAATTGAAATAGCTTAGAGAAGTAGTTAATCTTGTAGACTAGAAATGTATGCTGTTAAAGACAGTAGCAGTAGCATACCGTAAAATGCATATACTGCGGTGCTTTGCAGTGCCATTCGTTTTTAAGTGGCACACCAGTGCACTACTATAATGCACACCCAACGCACGCACATTGCAGCTCACAAAAACACATTAACAGCTTTGTGGTGCTGTGTTAAAAAAAATTAATTCATTTGAATGGGCTGCCTTAATGCAACTCACATTAACATGTTAGATAACATGAGTAACACATCACAATGCTGCACATAGATCTGAATGGGCCCTAAAACTTCAAGTGAGTTCTGTGGCACCAGTATATACCCCATCGGAGCAATATTTGTATAATAGTGAAAATAGTATGGTGAAATGGAACATTTTACATGTAAGACATGAAAGGAAAACATTTATGTCTCAATAAGATGAGTGTACTTTTTTTCCCACCAGTTCGATGTAGAGCTGGTCAGTCAGAAAATATAGCAATGGAGAAAGAGAAATAAGGTTAGCAAACACTGAAACCACTGAACAGATTTCCAACTATATTGCATTAAAAAACAAAACATTTTAAGTTCTCATCTCCAAAACATTAGGCAAGAATGGATGGAATTGTTCTCTGTTTGCGTGTCAGGGAAAAATGTTTTCCATGTGAAGATAAACTGGCCACAATTGCAAACAAGGTTTTGTTTGCTTTCCTCTGAAGGAAACTGTCTGGAGTTTGAGGCAGGCTGGAATGATGTTTCTGTTCACATAGATAACTATTCAGGAATGCGATACACAGAGATCTTAAACAGAGTTTCAATGTTCAAATGAAGCGGACAACACCTGTTTTGTAAAGTTAGACTTCCCCATTAATGCACCCATGCCTAGGTGCTGAAGGAGTTTGGTTTTGTTTCTAATAATAGCTTACCATGTTCTATTGAACTAGAAAATTCCACTTAAAAGTCCACAGAAATTTGAATTTATACAATTAGAACAAAAAAATCAATGCACACTTGTTCATAAAAGAATCTGATCTGACCATGCTTCATGTTACACCCTGAATATGGGGGTAACATGAAATATGGTCAGAAAGGTAAACTTAGCCAGCCTTTAAACTTGACTGATGATTAGTAAATACAGTAAAATTGAGAATACCTCATTATAATCCATACTATTGCACACACATCACAGACTCTATCCATTGTGGCAACTCCCTAAAACAACCATCATTCATCCCTTATAGCACTCTGTGCTCAGCAGCACATTAGATAAAAAAGCCAGAAAAATAGCACAATGTGAAGGAGAGAACCAGACAAAAGACTTAAGAAAATCATAGTCAGGGCATGTAAATGCAAATGTAATGTGTACATAGATTAAATCCTATGCAAATCATTATCAATGCATACATTTCAAATGTAAAATATTATTCACAGGAAGATTACCTTCATTAATTGAAAAAAAATATCTTAATAATGACATGGCATTAATATATGATTGTTTTCTGAATTATATTGTAAATTGTAGTACAAAAGAATTTGTGTGCAAAAAAGGAAGAATTTTTGGAATGTTGGTTTGACTTTCTAATGGTTAGTGGGGTCTAATGGACATCCCTTTTTTTCTAACTGTGAATGTGATTTTTGGAAATCATACATATTGTAATGCGCATGTACTAGGCACAAAAAGAAATTGTTTAGTACATCTGAGGTTCTGTTCAGATAACAAGCCTGGAGGAAATTTTTGAAAGTCTTTCAAATGAAATTAGTTGACTCAATGATGGCCAGATCTAATGCTCTGACGAACAATTTCAAACAGTTTTAAAAAATTCTATCAGTGTATGGCCAGCATTACTCTCAGGGTTTCTGATAAGTATCTTTAGTAATCATTTAACTGACTTACTGTCAGTTCATGGGGGAGCTTCCTATTCTCTTACATCTTTCTTCAACTTATTCTAGGTTTAGGGCGCATTTACAGCTCTATGGTATAACATTTAATAAGGAAAAAAATTAACTTATAGCCACACCCAGTTATTGTCAGAATCAGGAAGGGATTCGATATTTAACGTATATGTTTTGTTATAGTGCAGTAAAAAGTGACATTAATCCCTCAGTGAATTTCCTGAATGTAATTCATACCACTGCAAAACATTTGTGCCTAGCAAGTCTAGAGTCTAGGTTGCCACAATCTCTAGTTAATTGCAGTCCAAACAGGAAACATTGCTTTTAAATCCCACTAGCACTGAACAGGGTAAAAGGTCTATCCTTTAATTCTGTAATTTCAATCGCTCA